AAATAAGTCAAGTCAATAAGAGACAACTATTTATTAACAGAACCGGGGCACAGTGGCTCAAAGGGGCAAAAAAGAAAGGTGTCATAAATCTGTTTGGACTTTTGGGGGGAATTTTCTTCGATGGGATTAGTTATTTCAAAATTTCACCATTTCTTGCAGGTCAGTCTGCCATTGTTTTACCTGAATTTAAAGCCATTTGTCGATATGATAACAACAACACACGTCAACGAAATGGAATCGATTTTTATTTGGGGGAGGCCCGTCTGCAAAAGTATGCCTGACGTGTGCGCACACACACACTCTCACCCTACGCACGGACTGACAAAGAGAGGTAAAACGACACGTATGTTCTTCGAAGAATTGACGATGATCGTCAATCGTTGATTTTATTGACTGTTTTTATTTGGGAAAATTCGAATGTGTATAAACATCCGCACGCGTACATACATACATACACATAGAGATATCGATGTAGGTATGTAATATTATATGTGTATGTAAGTTTTGAACCAAATCTATATATTCCGCACTTATTTGGTTGGTGCTGTAGAGTAGTTCATGTGATAAAATATAAATACAATATTGGAGCGTTAAAATACACGACTACAACAACAAAATGTGTAAATAACACATTTTTATCATTAAAACCCACAAAAAAAGAAACAATAACAACAGCAAGAAATAGAATAGTTATTGAGGGTATAACTTATGTTGTGGCTGCAGATACCCCCATTGATGGAAACTAGGTTGGAACTTTAATCCATTAGATTTGACTTCGGCTCAGAAAAAAAAATGATCAAATTGACAATTGTGAATGGTTTGAAAATATTTTTGTGGGCTATCGAAAAAGCTGGGTTTGAAAAATATTTTTTTGAAATGTGTATTTTTTCAAAAATATTTTTTCAGATGCTATTCACGTGATTTTTATACCCTACAACACTATGTGTTGGGGGTATTATAAGTTTGATTGGGCCAGAATTTATGCAACACCTCGAAATATTGGTTACCCATATAGGTTACCCTAGCTCGCCGAGCTGAGGGCTTCTAGCATATCGTTGTGTTGTAGGGTATCACATGGTCGGCCCCGCACGACTATAGCCTTTGCTTACTTGTTTTAATATATGTTAAGGTATTATTCACAAAAGAGGACTTTTTGAAAATATTTTTCCATGTCCATCCTCAAACGAGATTTTTCAAAAAATATGTCTTCTATCTGAGGAACTACCGCCTGGAACTAAGAAAGTATCCTCAAGCGCGGAGTTTTTTGAAATAGAAATTTTTTAAAAACAAATTTTTCACAAATGTGGATTTTTAAAAGAGATTTTCTAGATATTTTAAAAAATATTTCTTCAGGGAATATACTCCAACTGCATTTTTGGAAATTCGTACTAAACGTGTACAAAAAATACTAAAATGTATTAAAAAATTATTAATTTTTCTTAGACAAACGGGATGAGCTAGATTCGAAAATTTGCAATGAGAGTCGCTAATGGAGTGCAGGATAGATGTAGCAAAGGGTTTTTGGAAATTCAAAGTTGTAGGTTACGAAAAGTTCTAAAATGGTATTAAACTTCCAAAATGATACCTCTGTACGAAGTGTGCGAAATATACTAAATAGTACTAAGTTTGGAATCGCTTGGTTTAGGATGAACGGTTGGAGCTGGATTTTTTTGAAATCATGCATTGGGGTCCGTTTTGGTGGTAGATTTGTAATAAAAATATGGTTTTGGAAATGTGTACTACAAGCGCTCGAAAAGTACTAAATAGTACTACATTTGGTACAATTTGGTATTGGGTGAACAGATAGTTTTTGAAATCGGGAATTTTTGAAACTTTGTATTGAGGTTCCTGTTGATGGTAGGATTGTGATAAATAGGTGGTTTCGGATATGTGTACTACAAATGCACGAAAAATACAAAGTAGTACTATATTTGGTTCTGGACAAACAGACAGTTCTTGAAATCTTGAAGACTGGACATTTGGAGGTGGTTTGGAAATGTGTACTGTAATTGTAGGAAATGTACGGAATGGTACTATATTTGTTATTGGGTGAAGGGAAGGAGATAAAATGCTAAAAATTGATATTGAGATTACTGATGGCATCTGCCCTTGAGATTTGGCTTGATTGTACGAAAAGTACTAAATTGTTCTATATTTAGTAGTGGTTGAAAGAATAGGGCTGGAATCCTCCAATTTTATATTGAAAGACCTCATCTGGAATTGAGAAATGTAGGTGATTTGGGAAAGGCGTACTAAAATTGTAGGAAAAGTACTAAAACACACAAAATTTGGTATTGGGTAAAGAAATTGAGTCGAAATCCTGAAATTTGATATAGAGCCCACAGTTGGTTTCGTGAATGAGATATGGAGATCGTTTTAAAAATGTATACTTTAACTGTACGAAAGAACTAAATGGTACTAAATTTGGTACTGGGTGAAGGGATAGAGCTGGACCCCGAAATTTGATATAGATGTCACTGTTGGTTTCGTGGATGAGAGAATGAGTTTTTTTGGTACTAAATTTAGTAAAAGTGAAAATGAGACAGTTGAAATCCTGAAACTTGATACTGAGGTCTCCATTGTTATCTGAGGATGATATATGGAGATTGTTCTGAAAATGTGTACTATAACAGTACGAAAAATAACTAAATGGTACTAAATTTTGTATTGGGTGAAGGAATAGAGATTTGATTTGAAATCTCCACATACATATGGATCGGTTGAAATAGTTTTGGACAGAAAATTTGGATGTGCCTTCATTGTGCAGGGGTATTAGTAATATCCTCCTCGGTAAACTTTAAAATGCATGAGATTTAAAGACTTTCTGCTATAAAAAGCAAACATTTTACTATTTTCTTTCCGAAATTGTGCAAATCTGGTACATTGTAATATATATATTTTTTCGACTTAGGTCCGAAAATAGACATAGGCGGACGATATTGGCCCACCCCTTCGCAACCTCCACCATAAAAGGTCAACATTTTCAATAATCATAATATCAAACAATATTTAAATAAACGAACTTGGTTGAGGGCTTAATTCAAGTGGTCACTTGATGGAGTTATTTAAAACGGTTCCGGAATTGTATCAAAATTATTGAGTTTTTGGACTTGGATTTTGAGGGAGTCCACAAAATGAATGCCAATTTATTGCTGACACTATAACCTTACCAAAGTTCTACAATATTTGTTATTATCGTGTGACTACTTGTTGGTAGGTATTTTCATTAGCTTTCTAATGATACCTTTATTGTCCACATCGGTTTAGTAGGTCTTGGACCGAGACTTTTGGTCAAATATCCGAGTATCTGTGTCCGTTGCTCAAAAAAAAAAAAAAAAAATGATTTCACGGAATCAGGATACAAATAACTACCTCTGGAAAAAATTTCAAAAAACTCCGAAAGTTTTACTAAACTAGATTTGTTCCGCCGGTAAAATCGACAGTTACTTTTTTTAAATACCCTACACGACATGGTGGTCAGGATATTATCTATTTGTGCATCGTTCCATCGTTCCTTTTTATGATCTACATTCTGAGTCGATTTAATATTGTTTATCATAATTGGTTCAGATTTAGATATGAATCCCATATGGGTATATCTTCGTCCGATTTGCCTTTTATTGTGCATCAAACGTGTAATATTGGCCCAAATGGGATGAAATTTGGTCCTTACGACCAGGCACAATAGTCCAACGGATTGGTATCCAGAGATTTTGGTGGCCATTATGCGCTGGAAATGAAGCGAGGAACCTCATTTTGTACTTCTTGAGTGGCGCGTGCTGAATTCGATGGTGCTGAGTTCTGTTGGGATGCGGCCAAAATGTTTGCGTGCCCAAAGCTTTAATACACCCTCCAGAATATTTTCGCGATAATATTCGGCATTTATTCTGATGCCACGATCGATTAATACGAGCGGAGAGCGACCATCGGCTGTTATGGCGGCCCACACCATCAGCATGGCGGCGCTTGAGTTTTGTTGGCCAACCGAAGGTGCACATTTTCAGCTGACCTCTTTGGTAAGTAAACACGATTTTTTGTTTGTTTACAAACTGCTGGACAACGAATGTTTTCTCATCGGAGAAAATCTAATTCGGAAGTACACCACTTTCGGTCAAGCGAAGCAACTCTTTACCACTTTTGAGTCTACTTTCTTTCTGTTGCGGTGTAAGTTCTAGCACTTTTTGGAATTTCAATGGCTTTACCCCGAGCTAATTTTTCAATATTTGCCGAATGGAATATTGCGATATGTTCAGCTCACGAGCCACGGCAACGCGGGTTTCGATCAAGTCGCTTCTTTACTTTTCGAACCATATCTGCTGATGTTGATGTTTTCTTGACGTCGGGCTGCGCTACCAGTATCACGGTAACGAGCGATGGTACGAGACACAAAAGATTTATTTGCATTTAAATGCTGGAGTGCTCTAACGATAGCCACTTGTGGTTTTCCAGCCAAATATAAAGAAATAACACTATCCAGCTTGAATTCCATCAGGAACAACTTTTTTTCTGGAAAATTCTCACGAAAATGCTTTTGTACGCTTGTGAACAATATAATAAGCTGTCACTGGAATAATTTTAACAGCTTTCGGCCGAGTGGCTTAGAAATGACAGTAGTCTGAAGTTCGTTGCAGTTTTTTTTTTCATCACACCCTGTATATTTAATTATAATTATTATTATCAGATTTTTAAATATTACAAAAAATATTCTCTAAAAAATATATTCTGAGACTAATTAAAGATATTTCCAATTGGCCCTCCCAAACAGGCTAGCCACCCTAATAAACACACATGCAACGGCGCAACGCATAATAAACTCCAAAGAAAGCTGGAAAAATGTAGCAGCAACACCAACAACAACAAATACCGATACACACACTGGCATAACAGCGACATGCCCGTCCGACAGACGGGCCAACAGGCAGGCAGGCAGTCACAAGAAGCATTCAACAACTATCCCAAAGATAAATCATAAAGAGAAGCCATTATAAGCAGCAAAGGGTTTTCAAATTTCAGTTTGTAACGAGCCAGCGGACAGTTAACACGCAACGCGCATTTTTAAAAGCAAGCAGTGGTGATACGACGAAACGCTTCACGGAAACTCCCCGCCAGTGAAGAAGAGTTAGAGATCCCAACAAAAAGGGAAACAGGCCTCCTAAAATAGAAGTGAAGCGGTTAGAAATTCCGGGAAGAATTCGAAAAAAAAATTAAAGAAATCAAAATGAAAACAGTAAGTTGTTGTTTTTACTGTGTGTTTGTGAGTGTGTGTGTGTGATTGTGCGTTTGCTAATCAGTAAAGCAAGTGAATAGTGTTTGCGGGATGTGTGGCTGTTTATCACTGAAATGAACTGTAGACGCAACAAAAACAAGTTGAAGTCTTGGCGACTCCAAACGAAAGGAAGTGAATGCCAACAATAACAACAACGCAACAGCAATAACAAGAAAAACAAGAAAAAATTGATATTAAAGAAAGAATCCAATTCTCAAGACGCAATGATAAAGTCTACGATCGTACAGTGGAACCTGGTTATGGAAGATTGTCTTTGGAATTTAAAATTTTTCAGTCGTTAGCTTCAATACCATCATGGAAATAGTTGCCACCATATGGATGGAGATTTTATAAGGGTTTAAAAGTTGAAAATGTTATACAAAATAGTGTTGTAATCTCAAACATCCCCCTCTACCCAAAGCATAAGAAAAAGTGGAGCCAATAAGTCGCTTTACAAATTTTTGAACTGAGTTTATCTTTTTTAATACCCTCCACCATACATAGTATGGAAGGTATATTGAATTCGGCATTCCGTTTGTAACTCATCGAAGTAATAATTTTGGACTTAGCAAAGTATATATATTTTGGATCAACGTAAAATGCTAAGACGATTTAGCCCTGGCCGTCCGTTTGCCTGTTGTAATCACGCTAGAGTCAAAACGAATTAAAATAGGAAGCTAAAATTTTGCACAGATTAGTCTTTTATTTGAAGGCAAGTCAAGTTTGAAGATAGGGTATATCGGTCCACGATATAGTATAGCACCCGTATAACGGTGTCCTCCCGGAATTCGGTCCTTTTTATGATTTTAGGCAAATTTCTCAATGGAATTCTCTGAAATTTTACACAAGGAGTTCTTTGTGCGTACTTTATCTCCTGCAAGAGTATATCTCCCATATAACGAAACCTCCCTATTGTCGGTATTTTCATGATTTTAGCTATATGTTTCAATGAAATTGTCTAAAAATCCTTAATAGAAGTTCTTTCTAAGCACTTTATTTCCTGGAAGAGAAATGCCTAAAAAGGTCAATGATATCGTATATCCCCCATATAACAGAACCCCCCGATATTCCATATTTTGACTTTGTTCCATATTTCATTTTAGCGACGTTATTCACCGGAGTTGTTTCAAATTTCGTATATAAAATTCGTGATCGGGTTCTACAGCCTATGGCAACAAAATTGTCTATGCAGGTCCACGGCTTCGTATAGGCCCCATATATCTCTACCTCCGTATTTTCGGTATTTTGAAGATTTTAGGTACAATATTCACCGAAATTGTTTGGAATTTCGTATTTGAAAAAATTCGGACAGAAAATTGTCTGTGCAGGTCCAGGTCTTTGTATAGCCCCGACATAACCGTACCCCCCTATATTCGGTATTTTGATTATTTTAACGACATTATTCACCAGATTTTGAATATTGTAATTGCTTATGACAAAAGTTGCCTATGCAGGTCCACGTCTTCGTATAGACCCCAATATAACGGCTACATTCGGTATTTTTAAGATTTTAACAGAATTTTTAAGGGATCCCCTTTTTTGAAAATTTCCAAATTCGTTCCAAATGGTGGAGGGTATTCAAAGTTCGACACGGCCGAACTTACTGCGTTTTAAATCTTAGACGGTAAATATAAAACCCGTCTTAAAAAAATTGCTTGGAGCCACCGAAATCAAAAAATACATTCCCAAACTCTCCAAATACAGGACGAAAACGTAATGGAAATCTGAATATTTAAAACATTTCAATAAAAGCTGGCTTCGAATTTAAATCCGTTTCTGGCTTCAAAATGTTGGGTTGTCATAAATTTATGTTTTTAAAAAGAAAATCGAATATCCAGCCCTAAAAAAACCGTTTAAGTTCCAATAGAAGACGAAATAAGCTCTTAAACCTATAGGATATATAGGAGTACAAAAAGCTTTTCATTCATAGAGAAAACTTTTATGTCCCCGTAGCTGTTCTATAGACAAAACAGCTCTAGAAGCTTTCCATACAGAGAAGGGATTGAGAAACTCTTTTGTAGATGTAGGAGCTCTAGTAATTTGTAATGCATAGTAGAAGAGCTTTTCTGCTCATAGCCGAGCTTTTACTTTATTTCTACATATAGAAGAGCTTATCTAGCTCTGCAACATATAAAATAGCTTATTCTAAATATGCCTAGAATGTAGATCTCTGGTGAAAATTAAAGAGCTTCTGAAAATCTTCTGCAACTAGACAAATTCTAGGGCTATTAGAACCATAGAACAGGATCTATATAAAGTGAAGCGTTAAAAATTCATATATTCATATAAGAACTGACATATTTATTAAAGAGCTTTTAGAAGTATTCTATTCATTGAAAAGGAAAGCTTCTATAGATCTTCAACCAATCATACGCGAGCTAAGAGAGCTTATATTCTTAAGAGAGCTTCCAAGTCGTGTATTTGTAAAAGAGATCTTTATAAATCTTCTAACCGTAGAAGAGCTTTTATATTTATTCTATACACATAAGAACGTCTGGAGCTAGACACATTTCTATAAGTTCACTATTCATAAAAATGGATTATATAGGTCCTCTACGAATTGAAGAACATTTCTGACAAAAAAAATATATATTTTGAGGGGTTCTATGATAGGAAGAGCTCTTATGCTACCAGGAGCTTCTTGAGGTCTTTTATCCATTGAAGAACTCCTACAGCTCTTCTACTTCTAGATCTTATTGTGATTTTCTTTAAAGAAAGTATATTCGTAGAGGTGTCTAAAAAGCTCTTATATTCGTAGAAGAGCTTCAAAAGCTCTTCTATTCGTAGAAAAGTTTCTACAAGTCTTCTATCCATAAAAAAATCTTCCATTGATCTTCTTGAGTTGTTATGCAGCTCGGCTATTTCTACAAATAAAATAACTCCCAGAAGTCTTCTTCTCTACACAGAAGAGCTTTTGTAGCTTTCCAATACATAGAATAGCTTCCTGAACTTTCTAAAATATAAAACAAATTGTAGACCTCCGACACATAGATAAAACGTATAAAGCTTTTTCTTACATAAAAAAAGCTTTCAGAACCCTGCTATACATAGAGTATAGAGTTTGCAGATCTTCGTACTCTATATTAATACTTCTAAAGCTTTGCCCTACATTAAATCGTTTATGGAGAACTTCTATACTGTCGGCAATTTTCCATAGCCACTGCTCGTCACAACCCTGTTTGACTGTATCATGACTGTATTTGATGAAAACAGGCACAACAATTGCAATAAAAACAATGAACGCTGTCTGCATACAAAAACACAAAACAACAACAGCAACAACAACAAAAATATTGAATATAAAACGCAGCCAATATTGGAAGTTACGACGAACTCAAATCCAAAATATCAAAAAGATAAAAAAGAAAACTCTAACACAACCTAAAATTAGGATGATTATGATGAGACGCAAACGGAGGAGGACGACCGGCCATGAACACTGATAGCGACAACAACAAAAGCTGTGTGGATAGCAATTTATTTTTTGGTGGCTATCAAAGCCGCCATATGGATTTTTGAGTTCATAGTATTCCAGTAAATAAACAAACAGTGAAAAGATACGGCTGGGGTTTGGTTCGCTTCGGTGTTATCTTATCATTGGAGGCCATAACTTCCTCTAATATTAATATGACTGCGTATTCTTTATTCCACTTACAACAGCAAAAAATAAAACAAAATAAAATAAAGTTATTTATAAATTGTATTAATTGTTTTTTTCTTCCCTCCTCTTTGTATTTCTGTTTCTCCCTCACCCCCCACAATAGATCATTTTCGTTTCCCTCTGCCTTTGCCTGCTGGTCTCCACAGTGGTAGCTGACAAATCCCACAAACATTCTGGTGACTCGAAAAAGCTTTTAAAGAATGGTGGCCATGAGAAAAAACATCAGCTGAAAGAATTGCCCGAACATAAATTGGAACATGCACCCAAATCCGCATTGCCGCTGAAAGAGGAAACCAATCACCACGGCGTGGTGGCCGGCGAACAGAAACCCGTGCGTGAAGGTGGACGCAAACATCGTCATGGCAAGAATCGCAAGGGTGGTGAACACCATCAGCAGCAGCAACAACAACAGCATCCATCCGGAGGCCGTGCCCGCAAATCTCATGGCAAATCGAAGTCCAATCCAAATGGCCCCTCGAAGACCCATCACAATAAGCATTCCCGCAAACAAGGGCGTGGCAAACAGGTCCATCAGCAACAGCAGCAACAAGCTCCACAACAACAACAGCCACCACAACAACAATAGGTTAGATTAAGTTAAAGAAAGAACAGAAGATAGAAAGAACGAACGAAAGAATGTTTTTGTAATTGTTTTTTCAAAGTTGTAATATTTTATTTTTTGCGAGTGTTTCATATTATTTCATAGTGAAAGAGTACAAGAGAACAATAATTAAAAACAAATAAATAAATATTTAAAATTAAAAAAAAAATACAAAATTTGAAATTTTATTTTATTTTTTATTCTAACTAAAATCTATGAGCGGAAACCGAATCGAAAGGCCCCTCACTAAAAAAAATCACTCCCAAAAAAAATGAAATTTTTCCTTAATTAAAAAAAAAATTTCAAGGACATTTGTAAGGATTAAAAGTAGTATTTTTCCCTGGTCAAAAATCTCGGTTTTTTAATACATTTTTAACAGCTCACAAATATATTTTTCGGGCCTTCCCATCTATAAATCAACGATTTTTTAATATAAATTTTTATTATTTTTTTTTAAAGAACACGAAAAATCTTAGATTTTTGAGAATATTTGAAAGAACTTTAGCCATAATTCCGAACTTTCCGTATGTATTGGGGGTACTATAGGTTCGACTGGTTTAAAAAAAAAATGCAAAACCTCGAAAAATTGGTCCAAGACCCACGATGGTAAGCATAGATCTTCCTGTCTAGCCGATCTAAGTTGATCTAGCTATATGTGACCGTCTATCTGTCCATCTTAATTTGTAATCACGCTACAGAGTTAGGGTCAGAATAGAAGCCTTTGAGCTGAAAAATTCATTGATTTTGCACCTGCTGTACAGGTTACAATTGTAGATCTAATTCCATAGATCCGCGAAAATTTATTTCATTAATATTATTCAAACCCCCGATGAGGTCACAAATCATAAAAAAATCAGAGCTTAAAAAATATTTTTAAAACATCCACGTGCATTTAAAAACCTTGGAAAAATCAACGTTTATAGCTGGTCCTTGAAAATTTTTTTTACAATTTTTAAAACATCCAAGTCCAAGCTTTAAAATATCTTGGAAAAATCCGCGTTTACAGCTGGTCCTTGAAAAAATATTTTTAAAACATCCACGTGCATTTAAAAACCTTGGAAAAATCCACGTTTATAGCTGGTCCTTGAAATTTTTTTTTACAATTTTTAAAACATCCAAGTCCAAGGTTTTAAAATATCTTTGAAAAATCCGCGTTTACAGCTGGTCCTTGAAAAAATATTTTTAAAAAATCCACGTTTGACAAAATTGAGACCCTGAATAAAATATTTTCAAAAAATCCATTTTGGGAAAAAATTGAGACCTTGAAAAAATATTTTTAGAAAATCCACCTTTGGAAAAATTGAGACGTTGAACGTATATTTTTAAAAAGTCCTCATTCGAACATTTTTTAAATCCACATTTAAAAAAAATAAGTTTAAAAAAATTTAGACCTTGGATTTTTTAAAACAAATTCTCGTTTATTTATAGACCTTGGAAAATCCACGTTTATTGTTCGTCCAAAAAAATACTTTTTTTAAAAAATCCACGTTAATTTATAGACATTGAAAAGATCTACGTATATTTATGATTTTTAAAAAAAAATCGACGTTTATTTATGATTTAAAAAAATATTAGTTTATTTATGACTTTATTTAAAGAATTTTAAAAAAATCCACGTTTATTGCTGGACTTGAAAAAAATATTAAAAAAATTAAAGTTTATTGCTGGACTTGAAAAAATATTTAAAAAAAATCGCGTTTATGGTGGACTTGAAAAAATATTTTTAAAAAATCCACGTTTGTTGCTGGACTTGAAAAAATATTTTTCAAAATCCACGTTTGTTGCTTGACTTGAAAAAATATTTCAAAAAATCCATGTTTATTGCTGGACTTGAAAAAATATTTTTCAAAAATCCATGTTTGTTGCTGGTTCTTGAAATCCATGTTTAAAAAAGTTGAGACACTAAAAAAATATTAAAAAAACACCTTTAAAAAATCCACGTTTGAAAATATTGGGACCTTGAAAAAATATTTTTAAAAATTTTAAAAAATTAAAGTTTATAACTGGTCCTTGAAACAAAATTTTTAAAAGTCCACTTTTATAGCTGGTCCTTGAATTTTTTTTGTAAATCTACGTTTATTTATAGATCTTGGAAAAATCCACGTTAATTTATAGACTTTTATAGACTTTTTTATAGACTTTTTTTTATAGACTTTTTTTTATAGACTTTTTTTATAGACTTTAAAAAAAACTGCGTTTATTCATAGACCTTAGAAAAATCCACGTTTATTGCTGGCCCTTGAAAAATGCACGTTTATTTATAGTTCTTCAAAATTATTTTGAAAAATCCACGTTTATTTATGGTCTCTAAAAAAATATATTTTAAAAAATCCACATTTCTTGTAGACATATTTAAAATGGATATGAAAAGAAATAAAATGTACTAAAAATCGAATACTTTGTATGGGACAAACAGAATGAGCTAGAATTCTGAAATTTGAAAGGAAAGTCACTAATGAACTACAGAATAGATATACCAAAGGGTTTTTAGAAGTTCCATCTTTAAGGTTAAGAAAAGTTCAAAAATGGTACTAAACTTCTAAAATGGTACCATTTGGTATTATGTAAAAGTATAGGCTGGAAGGTAAGTTTAATATATGAAGGTGGTTTTCGATATTTGTACTAAGTGTGCGTACTGTACTAAAAGCTGAAATATTAAAATTTTGAGGTCGCTGTTGATGGTAGCTTTGTGATTAATAGGTGGTTTTGAAAAGGTATACTATAAGTGCGCGAAAAGTACTAAATAGTACTATACTTGATACAATTTGGTATTGACTGAACAGTTAATGTTTGAAATCTGAAATTTAGTATTGGGGTCGCTGTTCATGTGTAGCCTGTACATATGGAGGTAGTTGTGAAAGTGTGAATTATAATTGTACGAAAAGTACAAAATGGTACTAAATTTGTTCTTAGGGATAGAGATAATGGGATAGAGATAATATATTAAAATGTGATATTCGGATTATTGGTGATATATTTTTTTGAGATTTGGCGATGGTTTGGAAATACGTGCTTTATTTGTACGAAAAGTACCAAATGGTACTAAAGTACCAAATGGTACTAAAGAACGGATAGGGCTGGAATTCTCAAATTTGATAAAGATATCAATGTTGATGTCTGTGATTAAGATATGGAGATGGTTTTGAAAATATGTACCATAATTGTACGAAAAGGACTAAATGTTACTAAGTTTGGTATTGCGTATATATAGAGCTTTAATTCCGAAATTTGATATTAAGGCCTCTATTGATATCTGGTGTTGGGATGTGGTGGTGATTTTGCAAATGCGTACCATATTTGTTCAAAAAGTACTAAAAAATACTAATTTTGGATCACTGCTTCTTATACAAATTGTAAAATTGAATATTTGTAGAACTATGAAAACCCCTCATTTATATAAGGTCTCACTTTCAGGACAAATTTCCAAAAGGGAAAATTTCGAAGACGGAACGGATAATCTATTAAATCAGGCCATAAATTTGTTATTGTCTTTCACTTGTTGTGGTTGTTATTGTTTATCGTTGATGTTTTCATTTTTTTAATTTTTTTTCTTTTGTTTTGAAACTTTGTACCTACATTAAATATTGGATTTCCAAATAATAATATTTTTTTAATCTTTGGGCAAATACAATTTAACTCAAGTTTGCAATTATGGCCACTTATGACGATATTTTCCCTGTTGTTGTTAGTATTGTAGTAATTGTTGAGTTTCTAGTAAATGTGTGTGTGCGTATGCGTGCATGTGTGTTTGAACTTGGTTGTTAATGCGTTGATGATGATGATGTTGATGATTAAGTAACTATTGTGTGGTTACACCACCACCTCAACTAAACTCCATTTAGCCAATGGTTAGCCCATCATCCAAATGAACTTCCAGCTTTAGTCGACTCCACATTAGGTTGGAAAAAATTAGTTGGAGTTGTTATTGTTTTTTTGTCTCAAAATTACATTAAATCAATTAATCTGACCCCTACAAGGTAAATGGTAAAAGTGCAAACAGACGATGATGATAATAACAACAAGTAAAAAAGCTGTAAGTTCGGCCGGGCCGAACTTTTAATACCTTCCACCATTTGGTACAAATTTGGCGATTTCCAAAAAAAAATAAAAGAAATAAATAAATAAATAAAATAAAAAATCCTTTAAAAATTCTGTTTAAATCTTAAAAATACCGAATGTCTATACGACGACGTATACCTGCATAGGCAACTTTTGTCATAAGTTATTACAACATTTAAATGCGAAACTTGAAGAAAAATTTGTTTACAATGTAGCTAAATTCATCAAAATACCGAATATAGGGCTATACGAAGACGTGGACGTGCACAGACAATTTTCTGGCATGGGCTGAAGTATCCATTACGAACTTCAAATGCGAAATTCAAAACAATCCCGGTAAATAATGTCGCTAAAATCATCAAAATACCGAATATCGGGGGGTACGGTATATGGGGGCTATACGAAGACGTGGACCTACATAGCCCATTTTCTGTTTTCTGCTGCAGTATCCATTACGAACTTCAAATGCGAAATTTGGAACGGTTCCGTTAAATAATGTCGCTAAAATCATCAAAATACCGAATATCGGGGGGTACCGTTATATGGGGGCTATACGAAGACGTGGACCTGCACAGATAATTTTCTGTCTTAGGCTGTAGTATCCATTACGAACTTCAAATGCCAAATTTGAAACAATTCCGGTGAATAATGTCGCTAAAATCATCAAAATACCGAATATCGAGAGGTACCGTTATATGGGGGCTATATGAAAACTTGGACCTACATGACCCATTTACGAACTTAACCTGCCTACTGGCAGAATATACATGTGTGCAAAATTTTAGCCTTCTATCTCAATTTGTTCGAAAGATAGCGTGATTACAACAGACAGACGGACAGACAGACAGACAGACACACAGACAGACAGACAGACGGACATGGCTAAATCGTCTTAGAATTTTACGCTGATCAAGAATATATATACTTTGTTGGGTCTGACGTGAGTATTTCGAGGAGTTACAAACGGAATGACAAAATTAATATACCCTCCATAGTATGGTGGAGGGTATAAAAAAATGGCAGGGAGGGATTGAAGGATGGGACGCAAGTATTTTTCAAGAGTTATGTGATCGACTTAGTAACTGTGCATATGCGCCAACAGAAAAAAAATTCCGGAACAACTCTAGATTTTTGTGTACCCCCAGCCAAATGGCTAGAGAGGGTATACAGGGTGAAATGAAAAAACGGCAACAAAGTCAAACGCCATAATTTGTACATTTTTTTTTAAATTTTATTGAATGAAAGCAAAAAATGTCGGAAATAGCATCAAATTTTGGGATAAGTTCAGATTTGTTCGAATTGTTCTCCTTTGGCACGAATTACGGCCTTCAAACGGCCAATGAAACCGCCACATGCTGCCCGAATGTTGCTCTTCGATATTTTGGCCCATTCCCGGCGAAGCGCTTGCTTGAGGTGATCGACACCTTGATGTTTTTTAGTGCCAACCTTGCTGCGGCCAAACTTTTTGCGTGCCCAAGTCTTTAAAACATCCTCCAGAATATTTTCGCGATAATATTCGACATTTATTCTGATGCCACGGTCGATTAATACGAGCGGAGAACGACCATCGGCTGTTATGGCGGTCTACACCATCTCCATGGCTGGCGCTTGAGTTGTGGTTGCCAATCGAATGTGCACATTTTCAGTTGACCTCTTTGGCAAGTACACACGAGCGGATGATTTTGTTTGTTTACGAACTGCTGGACAACGAATGTTTCCTCATCGGAGAAACCCAAATTCGACACTTTTCGCCAAGCGAAGCAAATCTTTAGCTTTTTTGAGTTTATTTTCTTTCTGTTGCGGTGTAAGTTCTTGAACTTTTTGGAATTTTAATGGCTTCACCCCGAGCTCTTCTTTCAATATTTGCCGAATGGAATATTGCGATATGTTAAGCTCATGAGCCATTTTTCGGCCACTGCCACGCGGGTTTCGATCAAGTTGCTTCTTTTATTTTTCGAACCATTTCTGCTGATGTTGCTGTTTTCTTCCGCTCACTTTCTCGACGTCGGGCTACACTACCAGTATCATGGTAACGAGCGATGGTACGAGACACAGAAGATTTATTCACATTTAAATGCTGGAGTGCTCTAACGATAGCCACTTGTGGTTTTCCAGCCAAATATAAAGTAATCACACTATCACGCTTGAATTGCATCACGAATAAATTTTTGTTCTAGAAAATTCTCACCAAAATGCTTTGGTGCGCTTGTAAACAATATAAAGAGCTGTCACTGGAATAATTTTAACAGCTGTCGGACGAGTGGCTTAGAAATGACAGCAATCTGAAGTTGGTTCCAGTTGTTTCATCTCACCCATTTGATACGGCCAAAACGTGCCTCATCGAAGTAACGGTTTTCGACCCTAGGTCTCTTTGGACCAAATACGTTTCAGGACATTTGAAGTCGATCTAGCGATGTCCGTCCGTCCGCCTCTATGGAGCACGATAACTCTCCGATTTGATGCAAACTTGGAACATTGTAATACTATCCTCAAACTTAGATCAAGTTCAGAGATGGGCAATATTGGTCCTCTCCTTTTGGTACAAAACAAAAAATATTTTATTGCACAGAAAGAGAAAGTATAATCCGATTTTGCTCCAACTTTGCAAATCCTAATGTTTGCATCAGAGCTTGGTCAGGTGCGAAAAGGACAATATCGGTCCACTCCATCAAGTACCTCCCCCACAAAGGGTCAACATTTTGAATAATTATAACTCTTATAAAATTGTCTTCAAATTCCATACACCCCAATATTTAATACAAGGTGTGGTGTTAAGATGGAATATATCAGCATACTCCTTCTGGCACCTCCCCCACAAAGGGTCAAAATATTGAAAATCCATGAAGCTGATAAAACGCTAAATTAATATCCGATTTCATTCAGATTTGGCACATTTTAATATTTCTACCAACGCCAGATCTGTTATGAAGATGGTAGAGATCGAACCACTCCTTCTGGTACATCCCCCACAAAGGGTCAAAGTTTTGAATAACCAAAACGATTAAAAAATCCGAAATAAGCATCCGATTCTTTTCATATTTCACACAAACCATTATTTCTGCTAACATACTCTCTGCTGTAAAGATGGGATGTATCAGCCCACTACTTCTGGTACCTCCCACACAAAGATCAACATTTTGAAAATCCTAAAGCTCAAAAAACACGAAATTAACATCCGATTCCATTCAGACTGGGTGCATCTCTATATATTTCCATTAACACAAGATCTGCTGGTAGAGATCGGACCATTTCTTCTGGTACCTCTCCTACATATAGTATGGCGGTTTTTATATAAGGAGATCTCTAGGAGGTCCTATTGTATTTCATGAGACTTAGTGATCTAAGAAGACCAACTGGTATTTTCAATTCAAAAGCCTCCGGTTCTTCTACGAGAACTCCTATTTCTCGTCTATAAATGTCTTCCATTTTACCATCAGTCATGTCATCCGGCCCTGCATTCCGCCACAAGCAAATCCGTATTTCTTGGAGGCATATATCATATACGCCTGAGTTTCCACTCCCCAAGGCAACAATAATTTTTTGCAATGATCGCAATCAGTATCAACTTCGTCATCATCATGATCCGGACTATATCCATTATCATTTCAGATGTTGCTGTTGTTTTTGTTTTTGTTTTTGTTTCACTTCGTTTAAAGTCTAGGGAAATAATAAAAAAAGCAGCCAAAGCAAATACTCGAAAACCCCGGTTGATGTACAAATGTACATATGTACGGTTGTATGTACCTATGTAAACACATATGTACTTGGTTTTAATGTTCGGACAAAGTGTACTTCTCGCAATTGAAAGGCTAACCAGCATTTGGACAGACGCACTCACTCACTACTCGCTCGCTTACCAACCAGCTCACATATCGCACAGATGTGTGCAAGTGACTGATGACGATGATGTGGATGTGGATGATAATGAAATAAAATCTGAGCAGAAGAAAAAACTATAGACAGTTGTTTTTTCATTTTCTCTCTCTCTCTCTGCGACCATTTTAATGATGACCGGCAAAAAAAAAACTCGTGAGTTTTTATGGCTTCCAGAAAAAATGAAATAATATAAAACGCTTCGTCGTTCTGCTACCCGGAGTTGCTGTTGTTGTTGCTGTTACACTTTGTACTGGAGCATTGCAAAGAAGCCGCATCGTGATAATGACCACTGGCATTGTCTTGATTTTGAAAGACCAGCCAGCCAACCTACAAGGCAAGCGTCCACAGCCATTCGGACAATAACGCTGTCAAACATTGCCACAGAAGTGGAGATCAACAGCATAATTAAAAATTAACATTCGTACTTTAAAATTGTGTTGTTGTTGTTTTAACGGTCGATGTGAAAGGGGCCAGATTTGGGTAATTCAATTGTTCAAGGGGTCAATGGGGTTGGCTCTCTAAGAAGAGAATAATACTATATCTAAGAGCAGGGTCTTTTCTTAAATTGAAGACCTCATAACTAGAAGATCTGGAGATTTTCTTCATAGAAGATGTGGAGATTTTCTTCATAGAAAGCTGGAGGTCTTTTTCACAAAAGAGCTGGAGGTCTTCTTCACAGAAGAGCTGGAGGTCTTCTCCACAGAAGAGCTGGAGGTCTTCTCCACAGAAGAGCTGGAGGTCTTCTCCACAGAAGAGCTGGAGGTCTTCTCCACAGAAGAGCTGGAGGTCTTCTCCACAGAAGAGCTGGAGGTCTTCTCCACAGAAGAGCTGGAGGTCTTCTCCACAGAAGAGCTGGAGGTTTTCTCCACAGAAGAGCTGGAGGTCTTCTCCTCAGAAGAGCTGAAGGTCTTCTTCACAGAAGAGCTTAAGGTCTTCTTCACAGAAGAGCTTAAGGTCTTCTTCACAGAAGAGCTTAAGGTCTTCTTCACAGAAGAGCTTAAGGTCTTCTTCACAGAAGAGCTTAAGGTATTCTTCACAGAAGAGCTTAAGGTATTCTTCACAGAAGAGCTTAAGGTCTTCTCCCTAGAAGAGCCTGAGGTCTTCTCCCTAGAAGAGCCTGAGGTCTTCTCCCTAGAAGAGCCGGAGGTCTTCTTTCATAGAAGAGCCGGAGGTCTTCTTTCATAGAAGAACCGGAGGTCTCCTCCCTAGAAGAGCCGGAGGTCTTCTCCCTAGAAGAGCCTGAGGTCTTCTCCCTAGAAGAGCCTGAGGTCTTCTTCATAGAAGAGCCTGAGGTCTTCTTCATAGAAGAGCTTAAGAGGTCTTCTCCGTAGAAGAGCTTCAGAGGTCTTCTCCATAGAAGAGTTTCAGAGGTCTTCTCCATAGAAGAGCTTCAGAGGTCTTCTCCATAGAAGAGCTTCAGAGGTCTTCTCCATAGAAGAGCTTCAGAGGTCTTCTCCATGGAAGATCTTCAGAGGTCTTCTCCATGGAAGAGCTTCAGAGGTCTTCTCCATGGAAGAGCTTCAGAGGTCTTCTCCATGGAAGAGCTTCAGAGGTCTTCTCCGTAGAAGAGCTTCAGTGGTCTTCTCCATAGAAGAGCTTCAGAGGTCTTCTCCATAGAAGAGCTTAAGGTCTTATCCATAGAAGAGCTTAAGGTCTTATCCATAGAAGAGCTTAAGGTCTTATCCACAGAAGAGCTTAAGGTCTTATCCACAGAAGAAATCTTTTTCATAAAAGACCTGATGGGGTCTTCTCAGAAAAGACCTGGAAGTCTCATGAAAAATCTTGTAGTTTTCTCACAGAATACCTATCTCAGAAGACCATGGGGTCCTCTGGCAGAAGACCTGAATGTTTTCTTGCAGAATACCTGTAGGTAATCTCAGAAGAGAGCAAAAAACATCTATCTGAAGACCTGGAAGTCTTTTCGCAGAGGACTTGGAGGTCTTATCACAGAAGACCTGGAGGACTTATCCAGAAATCCTCCAGGTCTTCTCCAAGAAGACATGGAGATCTTCTCACGGAAGAAGTCCTGGAGGTCTTCTCTCAGCAGACGTAGAGGTCTTTTCATGGAAGTTCTTGGGGTCTTCTCATTTTCGAACCTCTTAAATATGACACTCTGACAAATATTTGCTAATAACGGTAATTTATTCAATAATTTTTCCAAATTCTTTTACACTTTTGTTGTCAATTTCATTATCAAATTTTCAGGATCGGAATTTCAGGATTGAATATTAACCCCAGGCAACATAAACCGGTTGACGACGATAGTATTCATTTGTGGTAGCGGTGCGGGCATTGCTGCCGTATCCATAACGATTTCCAAAACCATAACCATGACCATATTTATAACCACTACCATAGCCGTAACCCGAAGCGGAACGGGCAGCACCAGCCGATGTGGATGACAACAGCGATGTGGTTGTGGTGAGAGCAGGAGCCACAGGATATGTGGAGACACTTGAAAATTGAGCCGGATGATAACTGGCCACGGTTGTCAATGGTGCGGGATGGGGAGCTGTGTACAAAGCTTGTGGATGTGCATACAAACCGGGTTGGTAATAACCATAACCATAGGTCTCCGAAGTTTTCATATCGTCATCCGTGTCCGAGGATGATGCTGAAGATGATGGTGATTTGTCCTGGAAATTAAAAAAATTAAATTATTTAAAATTATATATTTTAAAGAGAGAAAACTTACCGCTTCTACAGGTCCTCCCCTGGCCTCATGTAGGCAAAGCAAGGCAAGAAAACCAAAAACCAACACAAACTGCAGAAGAGGAAAACAAAAGAGAGGTGGGTACATAGTTTGGTTTCAAAACCTTATTTTCCACATTCTTACCTGTTTCATAGTGAACATTTCTTTGCAGGAAAATTAGCACTTTTTTCACTTTGCTTTCGAGGGTACGATTCTTCTTTGCCAGAACCAAATGCAAGTCTGATGTCCATTGCTACTCGAGTGCCAGGTTTTATAGCAATTTCCATTTTTTAAATGCATTTGGCGCCCAATGAAGGTGTGAAAAAGCGATCAGACACTGAAATCTCCACATCCCTTCAATGGAGGTCAAGAGAACCACATGGCAAGTGCATTAAGATCATTACTTCCCATTTGGAAATCATGAATGAAACTTATTCAAGAAATATTTGATTACATTTCCATATGTCATCAAAGATTTCAATCCGCATTAATAGCTGCATGATAAATAATGAAGGGGGTTTTGAAATGATATGCACAGCCGATACAAATAGTCAAGAATTTTTGCCACAAAAGATCAATAGATTTTTATTTATTGAAAACCTTCCGAGTAAGTAGGGACCAATAGCTTTTATGCCAAAAGAATTATCTTCTGCAATTGAAGGTAGTTTAAGAAGGAAACGCAGGTCGTATTTATTACCCGATTGAGATGAAATTTTCCAAACAATATTTGTTTGGCCCAAGACCAAACCCTATTGAAATTGGCGATAATCGGTTTAAATTCAGATATAGCTCCCATATATATCTTCAACCGATTTCGGGTTATTGTGCACCAAATGACCAATATCTGTCCAAATAACCTGAATTATTTGCAAATCGGACCGAAATCAGTCCAAAAGCAAATACATCAAATTTGAAGGAAATCGGTTCAGATATAACTATAGCTCCCATATATATGTTTCATTCGATTTGGGGTCTTAAGTTCTCCACGTGCGTAACATTCACTCCACAAGAATGATATTTGGTACCAAATATCGGATACAGCCCAGAAATACCTCTGTCAAATTTTATCGAAATCGGATCAGAAAAGGATATAGCTCCCTTATATAAATGGACTGAATTTTAGCAATTACGGCTGAATTTATCCTAGAAACAAGTACTTCAAATTTGGTAAGAATCGGTTCGGATATAGTTAAAACAAGTAAGCACAGGCTATAGTCGTGCGGGACCGATCATGTGATACCCTACAACACTTCAATATGTTAGAAGCTCCCTTATGCCCAAATCCATTTTGGAAGATTTAGCTTTTGAAATTAAGTCACGGAGCACTGCCCAGATATTACCCTTAGCATTTTGTCCAGGGACATTTTCCCAATATTTACGCACTCCGTCGTGCTGTTGGTTTTTGTGGCCCATTTTACGGCTAAATATAATCCAATGGTCATCCAAAATGCCATAATTCTTACCTGTGCCTAACTATGTTCTCAGGCGTGTCGATTGGCTTCAATTGTGTGATCAGGACATTTTTTCTGTTTTTGGTTCATTTGAACCCCTAAATATTTTGCAATCATCTCCAACAGCAAGACACCCTCTGTATCTGCAACTTTAGACTCATGTATATGATTTGTTTATCTACGATATTTGGCAATATTCGTCAACGAAATCAGAATAAAATAGTCAGAAGTTCGCCTTTTGTGTATTTCGGATATCGCCTGTAAGTAATGTTGGTATTTTTTCACACAAAAGTAGTGGTCCATTCTACGCGCTGTCCTAAACTCTAACTTTATGCGAGATTTCGTGTCCTTTGGTTTCTATTTGTGACCTTTATAACGGCTGAAAAATCAGGAACATTTTTAGTTGTTGATCAATTTCAACCCCTAAATATATTGCGAACATCTTTGAAAACAATAGGCCTAGCCCTTCTAAGCCTAACCCTACCCTTATGAAAATTTTCGTAAGGATCGGACGATAATTTCAATCTGTATATAAAACCTCCAACCTGTGTTGTAAGGTGAAAAAATATTATAAAATGTTCACTTCAATATTATAAGTCAAATTGAAAAAATCGCATGCGATAAAAAATAAAAAAATGTCACAAAATACTACAAAGTCTGTATGAACCTCGTTATTGGCATCTTTTTATGCGATTTCTTTAGATTTTATACTTTTATGCCAAAAGGACATTCTAAATTGACAAAATTTGTCAAAATCGCTCCAGCCATTCTGGAGATATAAGCATTCTAGCTAACATCCCCTTCCTTTGTATATATGTATTGTATATATTTCGCTATATATATCCGATATATTTACTATAGGCATCTACGTAACGGTCAGGATTGACCTGTTCGTCTATTTGTGGTTTCGTCGGCATCGCGGTTTAATGGAAAATTTGGCTTTTATTTATCACAAATGCTATGGTCTATTTCACCCACTAAATATTACCAGATTACCATCAAAATTGTAAGGTTTCTGCCCAGCCCTAAGCTATAGCCTCATGCTAACTTCCGCGTCGATTGGTCCATAATTGCGACCTGTAGAGCAACTGCAAATTCAGGATATTTTTCAGTGTTTGGTCCATTTCAACCCCTAAATATTATGCGATCATCTCCAAAAAAAAAATAGGGTTCTATTCTGACCCTAACCCCACCTACATTCTAAATTTCGTGAAGATCGGACCATAATTGCGACCTGTAGAGTGATTACAAATTAACATGGCAGGCGGACGGACGGACATACATAGCTAGATCGACTCAGCTCGGCGAGATAGGAAGATCCATATATACTTTCCCATGTAGGAAATCAATATTTCGAGGTGTTACATAATTTTTGGCCCAATCAAACTTATAATACACCCAACACATAGTGTTTCATCCCATTCGGTGTTAAAGTCCCTCACATGTGTAATATGTACTCCACAACAATGATATTTTATACCGGGCATCAGATACTGCTGGAAAATACCTCTTCCCAATTTTATTAAGATTGTTTCAGATTTTTATATAGCTTCGATATACATCTTCATCCGATTTTACGGCTATTGCTCGCCATATCTGTAATATCAGCCCAAATTGAATAGATTTTTTTCGAATTCAATCGAATTTTAACATTCGGTGAAACTCGTTCCGGTATTGTATTGCTCCAATAAATATTTTTTAATATAATCCTTATCGAAGTCATATGTTATTTGGTGCTAGAGATACAAAAGCCTCTGTCAATTTTTTTGAAAATCATAGTTGGTATGAAGTACTTCACATATTTTTATTTTATTTATTTATTTATTTATTTTTTTTTTCCTACGGGAGCTCTACTAATATCGGTCCCGTCCGACTTTTGACTTTCTTTTACTTCTTCTTTTATCAAATTAAATCGTTCATTAGATAGTTTTTTATTGTCGATTATCTAAATGTGAAACGCCATCTAGTGTTACATAGCATATACTATATATTTGTTGCCTATAATGAGTTAACGTTTTTGACATAGAGATGTCGCTGTAGAAATGTTTTGAAAGAAACATGGCATCAAATGTAGATATCATTGCTATCTTTCCGACAGTAAATAAAGTAAAGACAGTAGGTTCCGCATTGTCGCAACTTCGTGGGACAAAGTCTGTGTAGATTAAAGAGTGGGCATAATACAATAATATACAAGTTGGGGCAGGTTGAATAAATTTGAAAAATACAATTTTTCATAGAGTATTGTAAATTTCAAATTATTTTAATACCCTCCACCACAAATAGTATGGGGGGTATAATAAGTTCGTTATATCGTTTGTAACTTGTGAAAGTAATAATTTTAGAATATGTATTCGTCATCAGGGTAAAATTCTAAGACGATTTTGCTCTGTCCATCCGTCCGTCTGTTGTAATCACGCTAGAGTCCAAACGAATAAAGATTGAAAGATCAGTCTATTGTCTGCAGGCAGGTCAAGTACAAAGCTGGGCTATATCAGTCCACAATATCGTATAGCCCCCATATAATGGTACCTCCCAACATTCGGTATTTTGATGATAATTTTCAATTAAATTATCTAAAAATCCGCTAAAGTAGTTCCTTCTGAGTACTTTGCCCCTTTGGAAGGGTATGGCCCACGATAACGTATATCCCCCATATAACGGTACATCCCTCTATTCGGTATTTTGATGATTACAGGGTGAGATGAAAAAACTGCAACCAACTTCAGACCGCTGTCATTTCAAAGCCACTCGTCCGACAGCTGTTAAAATTATTCCAGTGACAGCTCATTATATTGTTCGCAAGCGTACAAAAGCATTTTGGTGAGGATTTCCAGAAAAAAATATGTGTGATGAAATTCAAGCGTGATAGTGTGATTTTTTTATATTTGGCTGGTTATCGTTAGAGCACTCCAGCATTTTGATGTGAAAAAGTCTTTTGTGTCTTGTACCATCGCTCGTTGCCCTGAAACCGGTAGCGTAGCCCGACGTCAAGGAAGTGGACGGAAGAAAACAGCAAAATCAGCAGAAATGATTCAAAAAGTAATGAAGCGACTTAATCGAAACCCGCCTCGCACAATGCCGAAAAATGGCTCGCCAGCTGAACATATCGCAGTATTCCATTCGGCAAATATTAAAAAATGAGCTCGGGGTAAAGTCATTGAAATTCCAAAAAGTGCAAGCACTTACACGGCAACAGAAAGAAAATAGAACCAAAAAAGAGCTAAAGATTTGCTTCGCTTGGCCGATATTGTGTTAGTAGAAACATTGGGATGTACGAAATTTAAAGACAATTGGAGGTACTGAAAGAATTGAATGGATATTGTCCCTTTTCACATCTGACCGAGAATTGGCGCAAATATTAGAATTTATTTTGAAACAGTTAATCAATATATATCAATCTATGCAACCAATATACTCTTTTTAAGTAGCCGGCCTTCGAATGGAACTTGAAATCTTCTCCTCTGGAATTTGCGAACAATCCCTTCGCGAACATAAGTTTTTTTTACATAATAATCGTTTAGGTTGCTTCCTTTCTGTCCTTGAGTTTTTTTCCGCTACGACATGTTCAAATCAGGCTACGCGAATCAAAGTTTAGAAATAATGAAGAAAAGACTGCAATTTGGGAATCTTCCGGACCCCATTTCACGGGAAGTACGGGTTTCTCCCTAAAAAATGTATGTTGTTTAAGTCATTATAAAAAGGCCGACCTTCGGTGAAAATGCTTAATTTATGGGACACATATTAGGCCGACTACGTAATACCTTTAACCACACTGAATATTTGCCACAAACATTTAATTTCACAAAATTAATTGCATATTTGGATGGTTTATAAATGTAAATAAACAACTCTTGTTTTGTTGTGACAGTTCATATGAAATATAGTATTTGACAAGCTCAGTTACAGAAAATGCAGAGATGGGAATGCTTTTTATACCCTACAACACTATGTGTTGGGGGTATTATAAGTTTGATTGGGCCAAAAATTATGTAACACCACGAAATATTGATTTCCCACATAGGAAAGTATATATGGATCTTCCTACCTCGACGAGCTGAGTCGATCTAGCTATGTATGTCCGTCCGTCCGTCTGTCCGTCTGTCCATGTTAATTTGTAATCACTCTACAGGTCGCAATTATGGTCCGATCTTCACGAAATTTAAAATGGAGGTGGGGCTAGGGTCAGAATAGAACCCTATTTCTTTTGGTGATGATCGCATAATATTTAGGGGTTGAAATGGACCAAAAACTGAAAAAATTCCTGATTTTGCAGTTGCTCTACAGTTCGCAATTATAGACCAATGGACGCGGAATTGCGCATGTAGCTAGAGTTTAGGGCGGGGAAGAAGCATACCAATTTGGGTGATCATCGGATAATATTTAGCGGGTAAAATAGACCATATCTTTTGTGTTGAAAAAATTAAAAGTTTTTCATTAAACTGCGAATATTTTAAATCCCGGCGAAATCACCAAGCCATGGCAAGGTTACTTCTGATCTTTACATTGATGTTAACATCCAACAAAACGGATATATAGCAAAATATGTGCGATATATATGTTTATCAAAGAAGATATGCTTGAAAAATCTCTTATATGTCGAAACGCCTGAACTGATTTCGACAGTTCTCATTAATTCAGAATGGCCTTTTGGCAGGAAAGAAAAAACGTCTAAAAAAATCGCATAAAAATATCTCTCTAAAGATGAAAATATGGATTTTGTAAAATTTTCTCATATTTTTTCAATTTTGTCATATTTTTGGCATATTTTCATTTTGAATTAAACATTAGGTAATATTTCTACAGCTAACAAAACTAAGTAGTTAGGATATCAGTATATCATATACAGATCGCATTTATGGCCCGATCCTTACGAAATTTTGTATGGAGATAAGATGAGGGTCAGAATAAAAGCCTATTCTTTTTGGAGATGATCGCCATATATTTAGGGGTTGAAATGGACCAACAAAACTGCAAAATTGTCAGCAGGTCGTAATTATCGCCCGGTCCTCACGCACATTTGAATGGGGGTTACCGGACATTACAAAAGCCAAGCAGTTTTGGATGGCCATCCAAAAATATTCAATGTGTAAAGCAGTTTGCCAACTTTTGTAGACAAAATACGAAAATGTCCATTCCAGTGACTTTTTGGAGAATTCACAAATACAGGAAAGACGCACTTCTGACTATTTCGTTAACGCTGATTTCGTTGAAGAATATAGTCAAATGTCTGTATCTCATATAGATGCGTTTCGGTCAAAAACCAATAATAAATGTTAATCTTTTGCCACTTCTGAGAGATTATAGGTCTTTGGGAAATATTGGTTATAGATCTAGGAAGACCATTTAAATGCAACATCTACCAATAAATTGGAAATGAGCAAATTAGTTAAAGTTGTTATTATTCGAAAATTAGAGAACGAAACCTGATGGTTTTCTTTTATTATTTGTCACAATATCTTGTGGAATTCTTTCGAGTATCTCGCCTATATAAACTGTATCGTTTATTGTAGTGTTGTAGGGTATTCAACGGTCGGCCCCGCTCGACTGTAGCCTTTGCTTACTTGTTTGAAATGACTTTACCTTCTTGATTCTACCATGGGCTGTAGTATCCATTTCGAACTTCAAATTTTTTTCACAAGCTGCAGTACGCATTACGAAATTTGAAACGATTCCGGTGAACAATGTCACTTAAATTATCAAAATACCGAATATAGGGAGCTACAGTTATATGGGGGCCATAACTAAACGTGGACCTATATAGCCCTATGTAGCACATTTGAGTAAACTTTTATCAACCTACTTCAATTCACTCGGAAGATAGAGTGATTTCCTCAGACGGGCACACTGAATGAAAAATTATTAAAATTTCTAAAAATTGTTGAGAAATACATGTTATAACCTCCGATTAGCGTCGTATAAGAAAACATATAAAAATCTACTTATTTTTGACAAAACGTTTCAAAAATTTTGACATATTTATGTTCTAAAGCGTTGATGCATCTACCTGCTACCTTGCTACCATGCTCCATACGATGATGGGGGTATAAATATCTACATTTCGGTCTGTCTTCTTAATTAGTTGAAGTCGACTGTGGTTTATTTTTCCCAATCTTAGACGAAAACAATCGATTTCTAATTTTTTGGATCCGCTGCTTTTCCAGCAAATGAAAGATTCGACTCCAATTCGATTCACTACCAAAAGTCGAGTTACACATCGCTATTGGAATTATTGCACCACAAGATTTACCATCTCTGATTACGTTCCACACACACTCATTTCTCCTCTCTCTCTCTCTCTCTCTTTCCAAAACACACTATCCACTTTCTCTTTGACCAAAGACAACAACAACCAAAACATAAAATCAAGCAAAGCAGCAACAATGGAAAATGTTTTATTTGAATTTTGATTTTGACGTTGATTGGACGTGTTTTCGCGGTTAGCGGACGATTTTCTCTCTCTTAATTCTCCGCATAAAGCGAGCGTTCTCGGGTTGAAATTTTTTATAAATCTTTTTGAAACTTCTAGTTAACTTCTAAGTAATTTCTGAAATAAAACAATAAAAGTGGTAATAAAAGAAAACAAAAATAATTCTAATTAAAAATAAAATCTGTTAATGGTTTTTGTTCCCTCGAAAAGAAGAGAGATAGGGGAGTTGTCAAATAACAAAAAAAAAACGAACAAAAATAGAGTTTAAAAGTGTCCCCTTTTCCTCATTCCACGCAAAGAAATAAAGAAAGAAATGTGAGTTAGTGAGTGGTGCAACAGTTTAAAAAAAGAAATTCTCAAAGAATAAGAAAAAAAAAATAAAATTATTTGTCCCCCACTTGGTTTTTGGTGGCAGATTCTCTGATTGTTTTGTAAGCGTTTTCTTTTGTGATTAATAAAACAACAACTACTACTACAACCAAAAAAATATTCTATTCAATTATGATGATGATGAGTGTTTTTATGGTTTCTTCGGCGACGTTGATGGAAATTGCACGCATTTATGGCCAATTTTTAATGAAAAACAAAATCCTCCTCTAAAGTTACAAAATCTCAGCGCACAACACACACGTACCACAAGATAAAGAAGGCAAACAAGAAGAAGCAACAGCAGCAGCGGTGGAAGAAACAATAAAAAGAAAAAAGTGACAGCGACACAAAATAAACGCAAAGAAAAAACAGAAAAAGAGTATTGTGGTTTATTTTCCGACAATATTTCTTTTTTTCTTTTGGTTTGCGCGAGAAAACAAAAAACTACAAAAATATTTGCAAAGATTTTTCTTTGCCCCCACCCAAGCAAGCAGAGTAAGTAGCCCAACTATAATGAAATGACAAATCACATACACAGCGTTTATCTCTTTCTATACGAATTGCCGGTGCAAATTGTGAATGTGTGTTGAAGAACGAATGAATAGAAACAAATATGCGGCTCTTTGAGATTGAGAGCGAACATAACATAAAGAGTGAGACTGAGTGTGTTTGGATGTGTGTGCGTGTGTGTCGGCTGTTCGGTAATGTTATATGAATCCAACACCCCAAAAAAGGGAATAAAAATTTGTTTTTTGCCATTACTTCCTCACGTAAATTGTTGTTGGAGCTCACCTCTTTCACTGGGGCTCTCTGTCTCTCGTGGCAGCGGTGTACGGCTCTCAGTGTTGGTCTGTTTTTTTTTTTGGATAGTTCTTTTTGTTTTGTTTTATTTTATTCTTGTACCGTTCAAAGCTGGGTGCCGTGTTTTTTGTTTTCTCTCTTTTTTTCAGTGTGGTATCTTTGCCGCTCAATAATTACTGATATTTTGTTGTTGTTCTTAGTCAAATGGGGCTGGTTGAAAAAAATGTCAAATAGAAACAAAATAAATCTGTGTTAAAATGAAAATAACTTGCAATGTAATGCACAATTTATGTTGTTGTTGTTGCCATCTTTTATGACCCATTTGGTTAGATTCGAATAAATGTTTTATGAATTGTTTTTTTTTTTCTATTTGCCCCAGCTTTTTGACTTTTTTTTTGTGTTGTGGCATATCTCAACTTTTTCCGTTGAGTAATGCAACAAGTTGTCATTTGATAAGAGAGTTTCTCACTCTCTCACCCAAATGAAGTAGGAAGTGAAAAACAATGATGCCAACACACCAATTTAGGGAAAACAGCTGGATTCTTAAAAAATAGAATATATCGTGTAGAACGGAAAGTAAATTTGAAATTTGCCAAAAAAAAAAAAAAAATAATAATTTCAACAAGTTACAAAGTCGGTTTTGTCGACAGATGTGTACCCTTATCCAATGTTCGATTATTTAAATATACAGGGTGAGATAATAAAATGCAACAAAGTCAAACGCCATACTTTTTAAATTTTGTTTTAATTTAATTGAATGAAAGCAAAAATGTCGGAAATAGCATCAAATTTCAGAATAAGGTTAGGTTTGTTCAAATTGGTCACAAATTATGGCCTTCAAACGGCCAATGAAGGCATTACACGCTGCCCGAATGTTGCTCTGAGGTATTTTGGCCGATTTCCGCCGAAGTGCTTGCTTGAGGTGATCGACATTTTGGTATTTGTTAGTGCCAACCTTGCTTTCCAAAATACTCCAGACACAATAGTCTAACGAATTAATATAATGAAAATAATGCGAGGAACTTTATTTTGTAACCATTGGGTGGCGCATGCTTCGATGGTGCTAAGCCATGTTGGAATGTCCAAGGTCTGTGCCCAAAATGTTTGCGTGCCCAAGGCACAGTCCAGAATATTTTCGCGAAGAGCGACCATCAGCTGTTGTGGCGGCCCACACCATCACCATGGCCGGCGCTTGAGTTCTAGTGGCCAACCGAACTCAGCTGACCTTTAGCAAGTAAACACGATCATTTTGTTTGTTTACAAACTGCTGGACAACGAATGTTTTATCTTCGGAGAAAACCAAATTCGGCAGTTCACCACTTTTGGCCAAGTTTTAGCTCTTTTGAGTCAATTTTCTTTCTGTTGCGGTGTAAGATCTTGCACTTTTTGGAATTTCAATGACTTTACCCCACTGCGACTCAGGATTCGATAAAATCGCTTTACTTTTTGAACCATTTCTACTGATGTTGCTGTTTTCTCCGTCCACTTCCTTGACGTCGGGCTACGCTACCAGTATCACGGTAACGAGACGAGGTACGAGACACAAAAGATATATTAACATTTAAATGCTGTAGTGCTCTAACGATAGCCACTTGTGGTTTTCCAGCCAAATATAAAGAAATTACATTATTACGCTTGAATTCCATCAGGAATAACTTTTTTTCTGCAAAATTCTCACCAAAATGCTTTTGTACGCTTGTAAACAATATAATGAGTTGTCGGTGGAATAATTTTAACAGTTCTCGGACGATTGGCTTAGAAATGACAGCAGTCTGAAGTTGATTGCAGTTTTTTCATCTCACCCTGTATTTTGACGTCTGTTATAATTGTTCAAGTTCAATTATATAAAGAAATTATGACATTAGATGCCAAATTGACAGAATAAAGCGTAAATATCTATTAGCGTACATATAATCATGGTGCAATGAAGACAATGTAGGCTTATTTTGAAAAAAATTGCATGTATATAGGTCTGCCTGTTTATCTTGCAATGTCAGATTTACTATCAAAATAATCAAAAAAAAAAAAAAAAAAAAAAAAACAAACAACTTGTTGCATTGATTTTTAATAAATAATTAAAAACTGCGAAAGGTCAAAATTTCTTTTCAAAATCATATTCTATCTCGAAAGGTTTATTTCGCTACAAAACCTGTAGATTTTTTCGATGCATACATTGCAATAAGCATTTTGAAAACATCCAAATTTGAATATTTTCTGAACAATTTTTTTCACACATAAACAAATAAAGTTGACAAAAAAAAGTAATACTCCACATTTTTCGTTATAATTTGTATTTTTGTCAAATTACGAAAATAAATGTTTCGCGTTGCTATTTTTATTCAAATTCGAAGCCTATAAACTCATAATTTCATGAAATTACTTGTGTGTAAATTGGCCAACCACGGCTTTCATAAAAAAACGCTAAATTAAACACAACACTAAAGTCGTTGGCATCACTGTTTAAGAAAAACAATGACTAAACAAGAGCGAGGAGAGACAAGACGATTATGTATGATGGATTGAGAATGGAGAGCACTGCAATATGACACATATTAACGAATCATTAAACAACAGCAATTGGATTACATTTGGTGAGGCCGGCTATTTGACATAAAAGAAATGGAACCTAATTATGATTTCGCTATTTAATATTTATAAATAATTTCCATATGTTATTTTAAAGACACCGACTGAAGTCACAAGGGTATTCAAGAAAAATCCTCTCCATTTGCCTTAATTAAAAGGACGATGGTGAACCATTAGTCATACAAAACATCAAATTTGAAAAAAATGTGGACCCGGCTTTTCGAGGATAATTTACTAAATCGTATTGGGTTGATCGCAAAACATTTGTGGGAAAGTAAGACCAAAAAAAAAAAAAAACTATGGTTATAATTTATAATTAGAAAATGACTAAAATGTTTATCCGACTTCTAATGCTCACCGCAAATACTGAGCGTAGTGAGTATTAACATTGTCACAATTGGGTGATATGGTGCCAAAAAAAAAGAAAGCAAATAGAAAAAACAATTAGAAATTGAAATGAATCTTCTGTCTAAAAACAGACACACGAAGAACACATCAGCTGTCGCGCTACTCATGCAGCGTCAACTGTTTAGCAACAAAAAACTTTGAAGAAAATGAATTTTTGGATAGGTGAATATTCCGATGTCGTTTAAATGTAAAAATAAAATTTTCATATTTCAACATCTCATTAGACAGAGGGACGCCAAAATAGCAAAATTGAAGAAGTGTCTCGTTGGGCTCTACACGATGACAAACATTTGCGAGAAACAGCAGGCCCAAATATTATTGAAACTTCAATTTCTTCATCCTCCCATATGGTATCTTTGCTGGTAATCAGAAGAAAAACGAACTAACTACTTATTTTACTTTTCTTTTCGCGCAAATTAAAAACGAGAGGAACAAGCTGCCAAACAACAACACATCATATCTCAAAAAAGGCAGGGGGTATGATGCCGCTCTAAATTCCATTTTCGCCCAACAACCAACCATCCATCCATACGTGCTCTCCCATTTGGGTGCTGCCGCTCTTTCTCTCTGCCGCTACGCACATTTACCCCGTCGAACGACTGATCATCGGTATCTTAAAACTCGACTTGTCCAGGGGGGAATGACTGATTCAGTCGCACAAAATAAATGATGGGTGTTAGATTTTGTGTTACGCGCAGCATGAATTTATGACTCTTCGCCAAAGAGACACATAAGCAAACAATGAGATGATTCGACGATATATCCAGGCAGGCAGTTAAACAACAACAATTAAAAATTGGTTTAATGCTCATGTCGAAGATACTGCATATGCGAAATATTGGAGTATTATTCCAGAGGAATTGTGTGTTTGGCAAATGAGATTTGGTGGAAATGAGATTAAAAAATAATTGAATTCATCAAAAATTTTGCATTTACATACAGCTTCTATTGAACAAATATAATAACCATAGAAGA